GCAGTGGGGTCCCACAGGGCTTGGTCCTTGGACCTGTACTCTTCAATATCTTCATCAGTGACTTGGATGTGGGCATGAAGTGTACTCTGTCCAAGTTTGCTGGTGATACTAAATTGTGGGGTGAAGTGCGCACTCCAGAGGGTAGGGAGTGATTGCAGGCAGACCTGAGCAGGTTGGAAAAGTGAGCAGAACACAATAGGATGTAGTTCAGCAAGGACAAATGCAGAGTGCTGTGCCTAGGGTGTAACAATATCCAGCACACCTACTGGCTGGGAAATGACCCTCTCAGCAGCACAGAAGCAGAAAGGGATCTCGGAGTCATAGATGAACATGATGAACATGAGTTGTCAGTGTGACGAAATCATCAGCAAAGCTAACCACACTTAGCTATTTGTCTGCTGATGCATGACAAATAGATCCAAGGAGGTGATACTTCCCCTCTATGCAGCATTGGTCAGATCACGGTTGGAGTACTGCATCCAGTTTTGGGCGCTGTACTTTAAGAAGGATGTGGATAACCTCGAGAGGGTCTGGAGGAGGGCTACTCAAATGGTTAAGGGTTTGCAAGCCAAGCCCTATGAGGAGAGACTGAGGGACCTGGACCTCTTTAGCCTCTGCAAGAGAAGGCTGAGAGGTGATCTTGTGGCTACCTACAAATTCATTAGGGGGATGTAGCAAGGGATCGGAGATGCTCTGTTCACCAGGGCGCCTCTTGGGGTAACAAGGAACAGTGATTCCAAACTGAGGGAGACCAGATTTAGGCTAAACATCAGGAAAAACTTCTTCACAGTAAGGGTGGCCAGAATTTGGAATGGGCTTCTAAGGGAGGTGGTACTCTCCCCTACCTTGGGAGTCTTTGAGGTTAGATAGGCATCTGGCTGGGGTCATCTAACCCCAGCCCTCTTTCCTGCCTAGGCAGGGGGTCGGACTCTATGATCTGTTGAGGTCCCTTCCGACCCTAGCATCTATGAATCTGTGAATAACAGATCTTTTTTCATTTATGTGAAATAAATGCTAATACCGTATTCTTTTATTATTTTTCAAAAAGGCATAAGGGCAACAACCAGCACAGGTTTGTCACAGGTAGATTCTGCCTGATAAACCTTATAGCCTTTTACGATCAGGTCACACACTGCCTTGACACAGGAGCTGAGGCCTATGTCATCTACCTGGATTTTAAGAAGGCCTTCAACATAGTTTCGCATCTTATTCTCATAGGGAAGCTAGCAGGCTGTGAAGTGGACACTTACACAGTCAGGTGGGTGGCCAACTGGTTTAGGGACCGCACCCAGAGAGTGGTGGTGAACGGGTCATTCTCAGCCTGGAAGCAGGTGGGCAGTGGGGTCCCGCAGGGTTCGGTCGTTCAACCGGTGTTATTTAATATCTTTATCAGTGATTTGGATGAGAGTATGGAGAGCACCCTCTCCAAGTTCACAGATGATACCAAGTTATGGGGTAAAGTTAACACACCGGAGGGCAGGGAGCAGATACAGGCCGACCTGGACAGGTTGCATCAATGGGCAGAACGAAATAGGATGCAGTTCAACAAAGATAAATGGAAGCTACTCCACCTATGGAGGAGGAATCCCCAGCACACCTACAGGTTGGGGGAAGACCTCCTCAGCAGCTCAGCAGCTGAGAGGGATGTTGGAGTCATCGTTGACTCCAAGATGAACATGAGCCGGCAGTGTAATGAGGCCATCAACAAGGCCAATCGCACCTTGTCATGCATTAGCAGATGCATGACCAACAGATCGAGGGAGGTGATGCTCCCCCTCTATGCGGCACTAGTCAGGCCGCAGTTGGAGTACTGTGTCCAGTTTTGGGCACTGCACTTCAAGAGGGTCACGGAGAATCTGGAGAGGGTTCAGAGGAGGGCCACTTGCATGATTAGTGACCTCTGTGAAAGACACTACGAGGGGAGGTTGAGGGATCTGGATCTCTTCAGCCTTCACAAGAGATGGCTGAGGGGAGACCTTGTAGCCGCCTATAAGTTTATCAAGAGGGGACAACAGGAAATTGGAGAAGCACTATTTACCAGGGTGCCCCTAGGAGTAACTAGGAATAATGGGTACAAACTAGTGGAGAGTAGATTCAGGTTAGACATTAGGAAGAAATTTTTTACAGTGAGGGTGGCCAGAATCTGGAATGGGCTTCTAAGAGAGGTGGTGCTATCACCTAACTTCAAGAGGAGGCTTGATAGTCACCTGGCTGGGGTCATCTGACCTAAGTCCTCTTTCCTGCCAGGGGCAGGGGGTCAGACACGATCCTTTGTGGTCCCTTCTGACTACAATCTATGAAACAGGGTACAAAGTAAATTGACAGGCTCTGGCATGGGCTCCAAGTGAGGTGGTGCTCTCTCCTACCTTGGGGGTCTTCAAGAGGAGGCTGGACAGATATTTGGCTGGGGTGATATGACTGAGGCACCCGTTCCTGCCTGGGGCAGGGCGTCAGACCTGATCTATTTAGGTCTCTTCCAACCCTAAGCACTATGGAACTATGAAAGACAACAGGCATGTCAAATTCTTGCTTCAGTTAAAGTTTGCATCTAGGTTCTGTGGTCTGTCTTCTTTGGCAGTCTCTCGCAGTTGAAGATGACTGTGTTCCATGATTGTTTTACCTGTGGGTCTGAAGATGGCTGACGAGCCCAGTCTGGAATTGACAGACTCTACTACAGCTTGAGCACTTATTTCTGTGTGGGGTGGGTGGCTCCAGATTCTTAACTCAGTCATTAAAGCGCAGACTGTTCTGTGGTAGGCTTATACGGAATGCAGGGTTTTCCTTTTAAAGGGACAAAAATCAAGTACTCTGTCTCACCTAAGATAAGGTTATTTATAACAGAAAATGTAATGGGTTTGAAAGGAGTTTCAAGACTAACAGTACCCACTAATATCAGTTTAATATTAACACCAAATCATAAGTGTTTATAGGACACTTACAAAAAAACTCAAACAATATTGACCAGTTACATCTGCAGTATTGTCAACCCTACCATGTCAAAAACCACAAGACAAACTCTTAAAAATCAAGGGCTTTGAAATGTAAATCATGAGGTACTGTTCTTGAAGTGTGTGGGGCTGTAGGTGTGTGGGGGGGATTTGGAGTCTGGGGAGGGGGCTGGCCCCGCACACTCTGGCAGGATGCAGGGTGTTATGGGTCAGGAGTGAGGGGCAAGAGCAGGGCTGGGGGGGCTGTGGCTTGGGGGTAAGACACACACACACACACCCACACACACACACACACACACCCCCCTGCCCATGGCTCTCTTGAGTGAGGGGCAAGAGCAGGGCTGGGGGGGCTGTGGCTTGGGAGTAAGACACACACACACACACCCCCGCCCATGGCTCTCTTGCATGACTCGCCCCTGCCCCATTCATCACTGTGATCTGCCCCTCCCTGCCCTCCCTCTTTACCCTCTTACCAGCTTGGTGCTCTCTACATGTGTCAGAATAAAAAATCCTGAGATTTGATCTCTCTATCAGGAGATGACGAGTCAGAGTTAATCAGACGTGGAAATCAGGAGTCTTGTGATTTTTTTTTTTGTAAGAGTTGGCATTACTGCATCTGTTAAAAATGCACATTTACCTTATTATAGAACATAATAAAAATGGATAGATGGCAGCAGGCCTAAAATTGTGCACCAAGTTCTTTTGGTGAAAATGTATAGGAGGTTGCTTTCAGTTGTTCCTTAGTTTTGGAACGTCGTGTCTACCAGAGCCTAAACTTGGACATCTTATGGAAGCATTGCAAGACGTTATTTGGGCAGGCTTTTAGCAAGTGGGGTTTCAGGGGTTTTCTGGAATTATTTGGGGAATTCCTTTATCATTCACTATTTTAATATTGTATCAGTTATTAGTATCTCATTTTCATTGTAAGCCACTCTGGGCATTTTTTGCGAAGGGCAGTACATAAAGCAAATAAATAAAAGGCCTTTCCATGATTTTCCCTGCAAAAATATTGAATATGACAGTAGACTTTATTACTTAAAGGTTTAGTTATTATAAAAGGGCCTTAAAACTGTTGAATGGTGATCTGACATTCAGGGGAGCCAGTTACCTCTTTTCCGCCATTGGATTTCTTATTGTGGAACTCTGACTCAAAAAGCCCAAAAGAAACCCCACAAGTCTCACTGCCTTTCAGAATCAGTCTTTTTTGCCCTTGTGTTATGGGTTTACTGACTCCTGTTCTCTGCAGGTGGCTTCCTCTCTAGCTTTCTGCCATGCAGGTGCAAGAACCTCTAGCCAGGTTCTTCCCTTATCTTGGGACTTTCCTGTTTGTTTTCTTTTCTAGAGGAAAAACAAAGTATGTGCAAGTTCTTGTTGGCCATTTCATTGACAAACTACAGGCCCCAGTTTTAAAAGGCCCAAGAACCATATCTGGCACCTTGGGATGTGAATATATACTATACTGCATGTTTCAGCACTCTGTGACGGGTATCAATCTGCCCTCAGACTTTGTGCAAACATTCTGTTGTCATGGCTGAAAGACCCTTGTTTGCCCCTAACTTTTAAAACCTGATCCATGGACTGGAACGAATAAGTCAGTTCAGCACACTCCGCTGAATGAACTTTGTCTTGGATATAGCATAAAAAGCTTCGGTGAAAAGCAGAATAAATGTCAAGTTAGGCTGCACAGAGAACAGGTACACAGAGTAGATGAAATTCATAAGCAGAATTCCATCTTTTTTATGACAGTGCCTTTGCATAGTAACAACACTTCTATGTTTTGTTTTTCAAATTTTCCAAAGGTGGCCACCATTTAATAAGAACTGTGTACAGATGGGGAGGTGGGTTTTTTCCCCCCTTTGCTGTTTAAAATAAGGCTTTTTTTGGTGGTATTGAATTTCAGAGAAGAAGCTATATTTGATCTATCGCTTGTTCTGTTGCTTGTGGATGTTTATGACTCCAGTAAAGAAACGCAATCACACTGAAGGCCAGGAAGAATCTCTCTGTTTATAGTTCTTCACAAAATTGACAACAGCTTTCGCTCTTTTGTTACAGACTCAGCAATTTCTAGCTCCTTGCCTGGGCATTGATCACCATGGGGAGTGGTAAGTGTATGTTGACATGGTGCTGAGCATGTGAGCTTGCTATAACTATTCTACTTTGTTTCAGTGTCTGTTAAACAAATACAACTCCGCCCCCCCCCCCCCCCCCCCCCCCCCTTTTGCTATCAGGTCCTTTTTCTGCTACTTGAAAAGTGGTGTTTTCTGTCTGAACAATCGTTCATCATGTTCCCACTTGGAAGTAATAGCCATAATACACTTCTGGCATCATTATCAAGTGAATACTAGAATAGGAGGCACATTATCATTACTCATTTATGGAGGGTTACGTGTTGGTTAACATTGGTCTATGACTTGATTTAAAGATGGACTAAATTTCCCTTATTGGATACTTTAATTGAATTGTTTCTCACCTTGGCACAATAACTCTTCAACAGGTAATTCCATTTTCTCTAAATTTGGGGGGGGTTTCAGGAGAAAAAGAAATTAATGGAGAGAAACTGCTTAGGTTACCTTCTTGAAATTTTGCCCTGTCTTTCCATGAACTCCTTTGAATTTGCCAGGGTAAACAGACAAAATTCCCAACAAACTCCAAACTTTACATAAATATGCATTATCATAACATCTTGGAGCACGAGCCATTTTCGAACTTTTATATCTAAATACATTCTGGGTTATTTCATCAGGTTTATTGTCTGCTGCAAGTGACCAGGGATAGTGGAATGTAGGGGATAAGATCTGTATTTTGATGATAGCCTTGGGGTTAGTCAAAATGGAGTTTCTGCCTCTCCACTGCAGCCCCTTCTTTGTCCTTTCCTCCCACCTGCCCAGCACAAAACCTCCCATCTTCCTGTCCCTATTTCTGATCATTCTGTGCTTTCTGTCTTACATACAGGTCCAATGCCCACCTATCATTTCATCGTATAAAACATGCGCACACAAATGTTTAAAGGTTGGGTGGGTGAAATTTGCCTGTCATTGAAAATGAGTGCAGGTTTCCGGGACACAGCAAAATACCATGCAAACAAAGTAAAGAAATAAGCAGCAAAGTTATTCAGTGCACACTCTAGCCATCTACTTTATGCATATCAATTCCCTTTTTAAACCTTGGATAACTCACTTCTACCATCTGCATCTCCCATATGTCTACTGAAGAGCAGTGTGCCTTTTAATGGGATATTTAAAAAGAACACTTATGCCTCAGTTATTACCTATAGTATGGATAGTTAGGTAGTAACCCTAAACTGGTGTGGATATTTTTGCAAATACTGTAAGAAACTGACATTAAAGAAGTGAACCGTATGATGTTTGTACATACAGCTTTACACAGACCTACAATTTTGTCTGCCTGACTAATTTTGTTGGTGTCAGTTTAAGCGATGACTTGGATGTAAATTTATCTAATTAAACTTTCAGAAATGTGTGCTACTTAACATTTATTTTCAGCATGTGGCAGACTTCACAGAATTCTGCTGTAGATGTCTGCTTGTTTCTGATTATCAACATTTCCACATACTGGTTCCTAGCATGCACTGCTCCTGTTGACAGGTCTTTGATGCACAGACATACAATTTGGAGAGCAGGTGAAAGTAATCACTCTGCTTCAATTGACATAATTTGAACTATGGGACTCTCTAATACACAGTGACTTTATACATCTTGCTGTGTGGAAACTTTCAGATAAATAAGACATAAAGCAAAACATACTTTTAATGTTTTAATAATTTATGGGTAGCACATTTGCTTGCTTTTTATAGTGTTTTGTTTTCCATCCCATTTTGATTCATAATATGAATAGATATCATGGCGCTGGTTTTGTTGGGTTTTTTTGTATCACTCATTTCCTTGGCAGTCAGCAAACAAATACAACTGATGTTATTGTTCCCTTTAACAATATCAATGGTAATACACAAAGAATGATTTTAAATGCTCCATTTATAGTGTGCTCTTACATTAAAGCCCTTAATGTTTATTATTACATAACACACTGAGTGCTGCAAGGAAGTGCATTTGAGAATGAAGTAAGGATTTGAGAAAATGTGAATGTATAGGAAAGCACCAGGTTTTGTTGGTAATTATAAAATTCAAATACATCCACACAAACTTCGGTGGAAGTTGGCAAAATAAATCTATGATAATAATATTTTTCAAACCAAAAGCAAAATGGATTTATTTTTATTTAGTTTATTTAGTTCTGTTTGTATCTGTGGATAGTTTGTGTAGCACCAAAGCAATTTTGATTTTTTTTCCCTTTGTCCACACAAAAACTGATCACAGAGTTTTACAGTGTCCATTTCACTTATAGTATTCTCTATTTTACTTTATTTAGTCCTTTCTCTTTAGTTATGCTTGCTGAGACCCCAGTGCTAGAATTCCTTGTGTTTTTCCCCTTTATCTGTTTTGGGAATTGTCTTAACTGGTGGAAGACATGCGGGTGGCTAATATTTACATGGTTGTGACAGACAGATTGTGGTTTGCATGACCACAATTGCTAGTTGATACTTAAACAGGCAATAAGCATCATCATAATGCATCTCTCCCAGGACTTCTATAGAAGGAATATTAGTGCCATATTTGTATTAAAAAAAAAAAACCCACCAAGAAAACAGCTTGTGGTAATTGTTTCAGTCCAGAAAAGAGAGCTATAACTTGTGAAAATCTGTTAACTTCCTCCCTATAATCCAGTGACTGATATTAGAACAAACGCACAAAAAACCACCTGCACAACTACTATTCATATTTTCCTTTTTGTATCCTGGAAATCTTACACTTTCTGGGTGATGCCCTCCCATCAGAGGAGTTCTAGGTCTTCTAACTCAACCATATGCTGTTATCTTGAACACTAATAAAAGCCAAAGTGAACTCAATTACATTTTCATTTAAAATATATGAAGCATCACACACAGAAATATTATTTACAGACTTGTATACCATTAGAGTATCATCTCTGTTTAGTGATAGTGGTCATGGAAAGCTAATATGGCCAAATGGTGCTAGAATACAGTTCCATTATCTATTAAGAGAAGTCATTGGGCGCTGACTGATTCTTAATTGATTCAATATTTCCTGGAGAATGGTAAACTTTAATCAACATTGCTTTGACAAGAATAATGCCTTTTCATGTGGGACTGCTACATTTGAATTGATTCCTAAAGAAGAATTAGATGTACATAATCCAATAGTCTCTGTACTCATTAAGAGTCTCTGCAATCATTAAGAGTCTGAGATACTTAATGATTTTTTTAAAATTGCTGTATTTGATCAGATTATTTTGCTTCATTCTGTTCCAGCTTCTAGTGTCAGTGACAATGTACCGTATGGACTAGTCGTGTCATTTTATATATATCATGTGAAAAAATCTTCAAGGCCAATAAAGCGTCTGGTTTGTTTCTTAATTAGCTTTTAAGCATCATTAAAATACAGATTCTTGTACTATAGTGGGAGAAAGGAGAGTTTTTAAAATTAAATTAAGCTAAATGTTCTTTTCAGATTTAAAAAAAGGTTTTTCAGTATTTAAAGAGACATGCATTCACCATTCATGACTATTGGCTTATTCTAAACTCACTTCTTTGTTATTAAACTAGAAACAAAAGTAGTATTGTATGTTCTGTGTTAAGTGAAAGGTCAGTCTTGCAATACTTGCTCATTTTGGAATATGAAACTGTTGCTTAGAAACTAGTCTAATAGTCAGTAAATGAATATTTAATGAAAATACCAAATCTTAGATCTTTGACCTTAATGTACTACTTCAGTGGTAAATTAGAGACTGTTGTATAAATCAGGACTTGCAGTGTGTCCAGGATGCTTCGGCCTTGATTGCAAGTCCTTCAGCCATCTGCATTTCTAACTACTGTCCTATTCCAAAACTTTTCTAATATAGCTCTTCTTGCTGCCATTTCTAAACTAAAATCCTTTTTAAAATCTCTGGCAAATGAAAAATAAACATTTATTTAAAAGTTAATAATAAATGGTTTAACATACTTTGCATATTAGTAGGGGTCTTAGGTCATGGACAGGCATTACATTTGTGTCTAAAAAAAATACCTTTTTCCTGGCGTAAATAATGAGCGTACAGGCATTCAGGGGGATCCACTAATTCCCACTACCTCTTTAACAGTCTTGGGTTCCCCTGGCACTGTTCAAGGTGCAGCAGGCATTTCCCCCCCGTTTCAGTTCTGGGAAGACCTGAGGGTGGCGAGGGTAAGGACAGCAGTTTTTCTTACCCTAGCCGCCCCTGCAGGGTAAGGGCCTGTCTTTAGCAGTTGCCAGCTAATCACTGACAGTCTGTTCCTTTCCCTGGCTGCCTGTCAGTGCTGGGCAGGACAGGCTGTCAATGATGGAGCTTCTCCGGGCAGCAGGATCCAAGAAGTAGTTCTCTATCATCCCCTGGCTGGAGAGCTTGCTTCTGAGGCATCTGTGTTCAGCCAGGGGGTTGAAACACCCATATGACCAATGCAACATTATTTTTCTAGCACCATGCAAGATTTTGGGGAATGGTATCTTTTATTGGACCAATTGCATGGTTGGAATAAAATTAGACAAGTTTTTGAATGCAATACATTCTTCACTAGATTGTGAAGAGTTTCTTGAAAATCCTTAGGTGCTGCAACTGAATACCTGGCCATGACCTTAGAGTTGTGTGACTGATTCTCAGGCCCACGTACTTAAATAATCCACCCAAATTCATCTGTTTCTCAGATCAACAAATAAAATTTACTGCCATCAGTCCCATCCGTGGCAATTTTACGTAGAAGCTATAACTATGTAAGCATCTGCCACCTGATCTAAAACCATACGTCAGTTAACTTGTACAAGTAATAGGTCATTACACTCTCACATGGACTAGACATTAGAGAGAGACAAAAAAGCACACTCCTCTAGTGTGGGCTACTTTTCCGCAATCTGTATTCTTTATAGGGAATTTTTAAATGGTTAAAAGCCAGTAAAACTGCATGGAGATGACGAAGAAAGGGAACAAAAACTAGCCCCCTTCAAATTGGCTTCATATTCAGCCTTCCTGCTTAGTATTTTATTTTCTGTTACCT